TCAACTCAAAACATCACCGAGCTTCCAGGTTTGGCCCACTTTACCCCTCTTTATATGATAATAGTATATTGTAATGTTTCTAATTCTGCTACTTACTTCTTTCAAGGAAATAAGCAGCAAAGCTATAGAGATTGCAAAGTTGAACAAGTATCCGCCTCGGATAGGCCCACGTGGGTATCGTGGTATGAAACCTCAATGGGAAAAAAGATGGGGTCTGGTGAGTTAAAAGAGTTCCATAATATAGGAAGTGAACGTGCAAGGAATTTTATCCTTGTTAGGTTAAAACGTGATCCCACAGGGATATACTCGTTACTTACTGATCTCTACTCCTTAGCATCTGAATTGGTAAGTTAAATGTTCATTTTGTAATGTTATCATTTGTTTTAAAACTATTTAGGATTTAATTACCCTTGCAAATTTATTTGGACTAACAGATTGAAAAAGATACCCAATTATCTCACAGAGATTGGTTTCCTGGACTTGGAGCTGATGTGCTTACATGGGTGTTAGGTCCCGAGCACCAAGGCCATACGAGGGCTGTTGGGCACAATGTTGGCTTGATACAATCAATGCCTAGGGTTGATAAGAAAAAAAGGAAGAGCTATGATAAATAGAACTTGGAAGATATTAAGGACCAGATGAAGATCGAGGTTGAGGCTATGATGGAGGCCAAACTAGAAGCCAAGATAGAAGAGATGAATGCTCAGATGGAAGAGATGAAAACATATATGCGATAGTTTCTCTCAAAGAATGAAGGCATACACATTACCAGCCCGGTGTTGAAGAAAAATAGTGTCGTCTCTACTGTATCAGATGAGTTGGATGGGATAAAGGTAATCATGTGTTTTTTTCTTATATACAAGATATTTGATCATATATTAACATATACATTATATGTTTGCAGACTCATACTACTTGCAAATTAGTGATAGCATACGACATGATGAACCAGAAATGTGCAAAAGGGATGGTCTTTCCACATGGGAATGGACAAATACATTCAGTTCCTTTTAATGCAAATCATTTGAGGGTATCCATAGACAAGATCTATGACCAATATGATTGTATCTATCTTCCTGTCTCGACCGAAGAAGCGAGTAAGTTGTATGAGGCCCTTCATGGTATAGTTCAGTGGCCAAGGAATGAAATTAAGATCATTCAGGTACATATAATTATCATTAACTTTGTTTAATATTAGAGTAATAAATAGTTGTGCACACATCTAACTTGTTAACAGTCCTCATCAAGCCAAATGTTGAACAAGATAAAAGATGTTCCTCTCTACCAGTAGCTGTCGACCTGGTAATTTCTCCAACCTTATTAGTTATTATATGTATATGTTAAACTGTACGAATATGTGATAATCAAACTATTTTTTAATGTTCCTACAAAAACAAAGCAACCTCGCATAACCAAGAGTGTGCCAGTAATCTCGAAGGGTGTTATGAAGAAGACCAAGTCAACAAAGGAAAGTTTGATACCACATACTTCTAATAAGCAAGTCGAACTAGAAAAATGCCACTGGTCATGAAAAGAATGTATAGATTTTTGATGAATGGTGAAGCTCCTACTGATGCAATTTAGGTTGAAGCTGAACCCGGGATCCTTGGAGCTCAGAAAATTGAAATGTACATTTACCATGATGAGATTTTACGTTTGTTGAATAAGCAATGGCTTGATATTAGTGTCATAACTTGGTTTCAAATGTAAGTACAAACAACAATGTTTAAATTATTTTTCTTTATAGTATTTAAATTTATAATGTACATTTTCTGGTTTGTAGCATGTTACATTCAATGCTTGAAACACATGGTGGGAATAAAGAGAACAAATGTGCTTTCATTTCTCCGAGTGAGATTCAGGCAACGATATGCGAGTCAAATGGTGAGTGTGTTGTAAGTTACATTGTTGATGCAATGCGCTTCCATAAAGACAAATAGTGTTTTGTCGCACTCTATTGGCAAGGGTATTGAATCTTACTGCTTTCATTTTTATTGGCTTTATTTCTTTATTGTGTATACTAAAATGTATTAACACTACTAAATTGCATTGGATGCTGCTAGTAATCTGCCCTAATCAAGGCACATGGTATATCTTGGATTCCCAAAAAAATCCGGATGAGATGCCTGTGGAGAACTACATGGTAGTGAAATATGTCGAAGAGTAAGAAATCTTTTTGTATTTCCGACTGTTATTTCTTTGTATGGCTTTTTTAATTTTTTTTTCTAATCTTCGTTTTAGGGCTGTTGTAAGGCTTAAGGAAGATAACGACATAACACATCCAATGAATTTGACACTTGTCGAGGTAAAAGTACTTCATGGGTACCCTGAACCTGCTTCTTGTTAAATTTTTTAATAAAAATTGATACCTGGAACACGGAACCTGTTCCATCATCAGATCAAAATCCTAGGTTCAAAGTAAAAGTTCTCTAATCCTTTATTGTTCATATTTATAGTGCAACCAACAACCATCAGGTTGGGAGTGCGGTTTTTACGTCATGAGATGGATGTTTGAGTTCGTGTTGACTCGACAAAATGAATTTCCAAACAAATTGTGCAATTTGTCTAATATGTTAAACATCCTTATCTAAATTATAATTTATTTTTTTAATTTATATATAGAACAACTAGAACGATAAAAAACCGTTTTCGGATTGAGTGTTAAATGAAAGCATCGTTATGTGGAGTTCAATGTTTGAGAGTAAGTATTTTTTGTCAAGTGCCCCATTGAAAGGTTAGTTATTCTTACCTAATTGTTTAGTATAGCATTTTATTTTAATGTACTTGATTATTATAACATTGCACTTGCATTTCATTTTATACAACATTTTACCTAAAAAAACTCATCAATACATTGTACTTTTAAAAATGAACCTAATGTAGCATCATACTTTCAAATCTTTATCTTATAAGGACATTAAACTACGAAAAATATATATTGTAAAAAATACTTTGAATTTGGAGGATCTTGCTATTATGGGATATATGTCTCAATGTATAACAATAGGAATAAATGGTAGTAGGATGTCTTAATAAACAAATAAATGATACTATGTTGCTATTTCCTGCAATTAACTCGGTTTTTTCTTCTCATGATAGTTATATGTTCCTTTTTTTCCATTAGTTGCAACTTTTAGTTTCTTTTCTTGTCTTATGTCGCAGGTATATGGCTGCAATTATGGAGTTTGACATCTACCACATGGATCTATTTGTCTTTTTATATATATTTAATTTTTCGTTGATTAGGATGGACAAAATGGGTTTATTGCAAATTATGTTTGAATTGGATATTGTTAATTTTAGAAATTAATGGCTAATCATGTTTTTGTTTTAACTTTTATATACATTCTGATTGTTCATGAAATGTTTGTGTGTATAAATTATTTATAGGCATGTTTTTTTATAGAAAAGTGGAATAATTATATTTAATTTATGAAATATATTTACTTAGAATGTCCTTAAGCAATAAGAAACCGTACTTTACAATATTTTATAAGGAGTACGGTTACATTGAAAAAGTAGTATTCTATGTGTTTCGTTAAAGATAAAACTACTTTTAAAAAACCCTAAAACTGTATTTTATAATGATTATAGAGTATTGGTTTTGCAACCATACCATATTATCTAAAAAACCATACGTTATGATGATTGTAGAGTATAGTTTTGCAACCGTATTGTATTATCTAGAAAACCGTACTATATGATCATTATAGAGTACGATTTTACAATCGTATTGTATTACATGTTAGAATAGGAAACACCCCCCCCCCCCTATAGAGTATGGCTGCAAAACCGTATTCTATGATTCATTTTAATTGTATTCTATATGTTATTTTGTAGTAGTGGGTCATGATATGCAATACAAATATGATCGTAAGCTAATATTAAATCCATAATTTTAATAAAATATGTGTTTTTATAATACTTATGATCATGTTTCACATAATTTTGTGTCTCTATACAATAGACAATAGTCACAATAAGAGATTGTTTTTGTGATTAATTATTAGTAAATCGCCACTTATGGAATTAATTACATGTGACCATTTAGTGAACATAATCGTGTTGACCGTAATTGCATGTCTGCAAAAGATACCCAATAGTTTTAATAAACTCTGAATTTGGTGACAATTTACTAGAAAAACGTCACATTGAAACAATATGTATGTTGCCATTTGGTGATATAAAGTTACTACAATTACTAAATAAATGTGTCTACTAACGGTTTAACACCACAATATTGGATAAAATGATTGATTTTAGGAACAAAATTTCCTACCCAATTGTCACACTTTTACGGCCACATGTTTTTATATCATATGGACACTATATTTTAAAATGACCATAAGACTCATACGATGGCGTCGCCTTCCGTCACACTTTCAGTGAAAAAATAAAATGTAACTATCCGCATATGGTCACACCTTTATGGTGTGTCCGTATGTCGTTTTTGTACTAATGAAAAAAATAGATGAAGTTTCGGTAACATTCACTCGAACTGCGGATTTATGTTAGCTATTATTATTATTATTATTATTATTATTAAAGGGAAGTAATTAAGATATGTATGCTGACTCCTGAGGTTTGTAAATGTGCTTCCAAGATTACTTCCGGCATAAACCAATAACGATACTAATACAATCTGTGATATAAACCTTAACCCATAATATCGTATAAACAATATCGTGTGAACAAGGAAAAACTACATAATCAATAAATTAAACTGCATGCAATGAGTGGCAAGTTTATTATATAATTCAAAACTACTACATAATTAATTATCTTATATCCTACTTGAAGTATTTTATCACGACCCTATATTTGATGCTTCAGTCGGTATAATATATATTTGTATTAGTTATAAATTTATACATTACACATCCATAGCATCTGAGGGTTGACTAATATATATATATAATATATATATATATCTATATATATATATATATATATATATATATATATATATATATATATATATAACTCACTATAGGTTTAAAATTACGTACCTTAAAAATGTTGGAGCAAACTCTTTTTCTTTCGTTCTCCATATTTTATCTTCTTTTCTCTGTTTTATCTATTTCAGCCGCAAACTCAATCATCTATGTCGAATGCTCTCAACTCTACTTCACCTTGACAACATCCTATGAGGCGCATATCAATTCACTATTTACTTCCTTGTCTGAGTCATCCTCTATCTCCAATTTCAACAAATTCCAAATCTGTCCTCCGGGATACTCACAAAGCGACGTTGTTTATGGTCTCTACCAATGTCGAGGTGACGTTAGCTCCACCACCTGCAGAGATTGTGTCGCAAACTCTCTTAGTCAACTCAAGACATCTTGTCCTATGTCAGTAGGAGGACAAATACAGTTGGAAGGATGTTTTGTGAAATACAATAATACATCATTTTTTGGGGTTGAAGACAAGATGGAGATGTCAAAGAGCTGTGGCCCTTCGGTTGTTTATAATATGCAAGCTTTGAATCGTATTGATGATGCATTGGCATATTTAACTGCTGGGAATGGACAATACTTTCGTAAGGGTGCTTTTGAGAGCGTGCAGGGTGTAGCACAGTGCGTACAAGATTTGACTGTGAGTGAGTGTGAAGATTGTCTTTTGGAGGCTCGTGCGCGATTAAGATCAGAGTGTGAGACCTCGACTTGGGGCAATATGTACTTGGGAAAATGTTTTATCCGGTATACTGATCAAGGTATTCGTTTGTTTCTATGGTATGGCTTTAGTTATTACTTTTAATTGTTGGAATATAAAGTAACTTTATTATGGAAAAATGCAGATAATAATAATGATGCAAATAATGATACGTATGATTATAATGATTATGACGATGATGATGATCGTGATCGTTCAAAGAAAAAAAAGAAAAACAAAAGAAAAACAAATCTGAAACAAGTGCGAAGATGGACAATTACCGTAGGAGCAACGGTTGGTGGGATCTCCTCGACGGCTGCATTAGGTATTACCGTTACCATATTGTACAAGAAATACAGAGGTAAAATTCGTTCATTTTATTAAGAAATGCTTTGCTTGCAACTAATCTAAGTTACAATATAAAGATGTATATTATATTTTAAATTATCCACATTAATTAATTTAAAATCACCTAAAATCTTTGTCTAAAAAACCTCATATATGTTAATTTGTTGCTTTTTCTGTATTTCAAGCAAAACGTGTGTCTTTGATCAAAGTTTTTAATAGAAAAATCGTAAAATTAACTACAAACAGTAGCAAACATTAATTAGTATAACTTCGTAAAATATAATAATGTAAAAAATTTTAAGAGCAATATTCGTAAGAGATTTTATTCAAAAAGTTATTTGATATTTTTAGTGCTACAACTTAAAAAGTTTTATAAACATTTAGTACAGCTTTTTCACATAGTTTATGGTCATATATATTATGAAAACGCTATAACATAAACATTGTTGATTAGCAAATTCATTGAAAACGTTAGCTTTAAAAAAAGCTCGCTCTATGGCTTGATAACATATCGAGACCTTTTTATTTGAAAAAACTCTAAAAAGATTTCGTAGTTTTAGTCCATCTTTTCATAACTTTAAAAGGACTCTGAAGTTTTAATATGTTATCAACCTCTAATCGTCAAAGACGGGCTGCCTCGACCATGTTTTAGTAGACCTTTTTAATTTCTTGTTAGTTAATATAATTGTAAAAGATTTTTAAAATTATCATAAAAAAATATCTGCTCAAAATACAAAGTACGTTATATTTATAAAATCTCGTCCTATTGCTTCATACTTTTTCTTTTCTCTTTAAATTTCTTTTTTTCTTTTTATCTTTACAGACCGATATGATAGGAGGCCTATAAAAAAGTCACCTCTCCAAACTTCAACATCACCTATAATAACGCCACCACCAACTCCACCGCAACTGACACCACCGCCATCACCACCCCGAGGTTCAATCACCCTTCAAGTTTTTTTAGTTAACATGAGTTTTAATTATTAAGTGGATACCACAAATTAAAGATCTTTATCTCCTATCCAACATACAAATTATGATAACTTAGTAGAACTTGTCTTCTCCCATATTATTTTTATATATTTCTTCTGCTTTTATATTTCATGGTCCTCATGTACTGTAAGCATTCATCATGTAATTCCGTAGCTAGTTTCTAAAAGTTTAGAAATAATAAACATTTTGATGATCCCAGGTCACTATTGTAACGTTATTGGAGGGTGTACATGCCCAATTCCCCCTCCTTTTAATGAAGCATTCTTTGGGGCCCGAAATGAAGCCTACGGAATCCCCTGGCTAAGGTAGAGATCGATATTTTAAACACAAAAAACTCCCTATTTAGTACTTTTCATGCGTCGGTTTTTAATTATTGTACGTTTATATATATATATATATATATATATATATATATATATATATATATATATATATATATGGGGAAGGTTATTTGGAAAACAAAAAAACCCTAAAAAAACTCTAAAAATTATAAAAATGCATAAAAAAAATACAAAGACATCACAAAACTTTTTTTTGAATTTTTTTATCAAAAAATCGCAGCATTTTTTACAATTTTGCTGAAAAAAAAAAATAAAAAATATTTTTTATTTTATTTTATTTTATTTTTATTTTTATTTTTTTGTAAAAAAAAAATTTTCAATTATTGTACGATTATATATATATATATATATATATATATATATAATATATATATATATATATATAGGTTTACGTTCTATGGAAAACAAAAAACCTAAAAAAACCTTAAAAATCATGAAAATGCATAAAAAAAATACTTACAGATCACAAAACTTTTTTTTGAATTTTTTTTTATAAAAAATTGCAGCTTTTTATTAAAATTCGTTGAAAAAAAAATAAAAAATCAATTTCTTTTTTTTATAAATTTTTTTTTTCAAATTTTTTTTCAGCGAATTTCTTTAAAAACCTGCGATGTTTTTATAAAAATGTCAAAAAAAAGTTTTGTGATCTCTAGGTATTTTTTTTTATGCATTTTTTATGATTTTTAGGGTTTTTTTGTTTTCCAAATAACCCTTTAACCCTTCTTCTCTCTCTCTGCCTCCTCTCTCTCTCTCTCTCTCTCTCTCTCTCTCTCTTATATATTATATATATTATATCTATATATATTATATATATATATATATCTATATCTATATATATATATATATATATATATATATATCAACACTTCCATTTGTCTTCATTTTTAGTTCTACTATAAATGTATAATCTATTGACTAGATCAGATTTAGTTCAAATAAATTATGGACTAATATAAAGATACCGACTTTGGTCTTTAAGCTCAATATATGTTTACATTTTACGTAAGAGATTGTATTATATTTGTTATAGGCATTTTTTTAACAACAAAATGATGTTATTATAAAAAGAGTGCTAGCCTGAGGCTAGAATTACAAGTAATTGAACCAAATTTGTTTCAAACATTTTATTTTAACTGTGAAACTTTTAATAAGATACATAGCTAGGTTGTTCCTCTTTGTAGAATTTCTTTTTCCAATATTTATATTTTCTAATAAGCTTTTTAAACTCCGAATCAAGCAGTTACAGATGGTAGAGATGTATTATCTTCGACAGTTTCAACAATTGACGTGGTAAGGTTCACAAGGAGATGCTCACTAGCTATCTAGGATTTACCAAATGAATATATATAGCAATATTATTTTAGTGATAAGTTTGTGGAATGGCAATGAATTTATTCTTAAATTTGTGTGTGATCAGAATTTATTCTTGAATTTGTATGTGATCAATATTTTCTGGTACATGAATATGAATGTACTAAGTGGTTATTATTCTAACAAAATCAAACCATCAAATAATATTGAGAATTATAAATCTTTTTTTTCTCCAATAATAAAACTCTAATTTATTTTTATTGAATACCGAATTTCGTCTAGAAATTAGTTTGATCATTTGCGATCAGATCTAATTATAAGAAAATGATAAAAACATATTGTTCCGTTGCCGAAAGAATTAAAAGATGGAACACTAAATTTGAACCAAATGATGATATATGCTGATCTTGACCACTAAAAACTACATGGAAGAAACTTATGTCATTAAAGGTTGTTACATCTCGCTAAGGATTTAAGCTTAACCATAAAACCTAGGATTTGATACAGATGATCCTTCCCTCAAACATCTATGGAAAAACGATAAACGTAAAGCTGATTACTAGAAACCAAGAGAAGTTGGAAATCACACACACACACACACACACACACACACACACACACACACACACACACACACACAGAGGGGGAAGTAGAAGGCTGTGTTTTTAGGTGTCGAATAAATGGGACTTGAGATGTCTTATTTATACTACCAAGGAAATAATCGAATCCCTGAAAATCAAACTTGATGACGATATCCGACCTCTCACATGCTGTCACGAGGTAATTCGAATTCAAATTTGATGACATCGTTATATGGTATCTCATCCAATTCAAACCCGAAGTTTATAAAATCTTTTTGGAGGCTTCTAGAATGTTTTGTGTACTTATCCATGAAGTTAATGCGTTAGCTAGGTTGGTCGAACTGACTCGACCCGATGTAAGCTATCGATGTTCTTTAGCATTAGTTAGTAAGATAGTTATTTTTTGTTGTAAGTCATTCTACTTCTAACATTCCCATAGAGCACATCACTTGAGACTATCCCTAACATGAGTGTGATTTGTCCATTTAACACTAACATTTGGTCCTATTGATGACCTCTTGGCTTGCTCTGCTAATGACAAATTTTCCATCTCGAGGGTTACAACATTTTTTTAAATGTTAATTTTATTAAACAAGATAACCAACTAAAACAAATACAAAATGAAAAAGATAATGACATGTTTTATCATTGACATGTTGAGAGGCTTAAATTCCAGGTGAAAGTTGGTTAGGTTCTAGCCGATGAAGTCATAACATCGATTACATCATAAGTGTCGGATAACTTTATCATTTCTCTTCTTTAAAAAAATCTACAGTTTGCAATTTGAATCTTTTGGTTTCATTCTCATATAGGTTTTACTGCAATGTATTTTAGTAGTTGATCAACATACTCTTAATTATTCTCCAATATCATCATATTGTACTTATGATATTACTATAAGAATAACGACCATTTTACACAAGTCAACTATAAGAAGAAGTTCCAGAGCAAGATCCAAATTCGAAATTTTCATTTTTATTTAGAAGAATAAAATAACGATAACGTTACTATAGCATCCGATAGATTTTCATTTGTTGTAACATTCCAAATCTCATAAGTAAAAATTCCATTTTTAAGTCAACCAAAAACAATCAAGTATTCATATCAAACCATCCAGAAGTATGCCAAAGTGAAAACATTTATCAAAATACAATCCCAAAATCATAAAAATGTGGAAACATGGGTGGATGTTGTAGCATCCCTAAATTATGAGGTAAAATTTTCATTTTTAATTCCACCAAAACATTAATTATATTTTAATTCAACATTCCACATCCTTTTCTAAATATTCAAAAGTATTGTTTAGGAACACAGTTGCCAGAGTAAAATCATAAAATCATCATAATGCGGAATATATGGGTGGATGCGCTGCGATCAAGTCAGGCCCTTTCCTTTCAAACTGGAGGTACCTCAAACAAAACTGAAAATCGTAAGCACAAAACTTAGTGAGTCCTCAAAATACCACATATCATACATAACTAAACACATAATGGGCCCCGCCCAATGAGTGTAATGTTGGAACCTAAAAGTGAACCTCTAGCAATCTCTAACCTTTCATGTTCCGAAGTCAGTCTTAGTTCTGGAGTAGAATATGGTCTGGAGTCAGTCCATGGTCAGAAGTGAAGTTTGTGTCCGGAGTTAAGAGTATGTTCAAAGAGAAGATGTTCTGAACGAAGAATATGTCAGAATCAGTCTATCTGTCTATGTATTCTTGTCTTCTAGTTTGATGTAATAGTTCATAGGACTTAGTTTATTTTGTCAAATGGATAATCAGAGTGTCAGAAGTAACTCTTTTTTCCGGTCCTATGTATGTGTTTGAGTTTGTACGATGTACTCCTTTCTCCTATTTAAGGAGTGTTTAATGTGAAGAATATAAGACGGATTGTTCCTCAAAAGATAACAATATTTGAATTTACTTCACTTGCATCTTTCTCTCAAATCAAATTCTTTCAAACATTCTACTTGTTCATTTATTGTCTTTACTTTGATTATACTCATTATTCTCTATTAAATACTTGAAGTACTTTGTTGATTCTCATTTTAAAGTCTTGACTGGTCTTGCCAGACTTGACTAGAACTTATAATCAGAAGCATACATTGATCTTAAGCATTAACTCAAGGTTTGAGTTTTTGAGCCTTGTCCCTGCGCAATCAGATCTTCGATCTTACAATTGGTATCAGAGCTTGAGTGGTTGTCCTTTGAATCCATAAGAACATATTATAGTTGATTCGAGATTACCTTGGTATTTGATCATTTCTATGTTCAGGATAAAAGTTCTTCTATATACCACTTTTGCTCAAGATATCCTAACTTCAATGGCTTCTTCTAATTCTCAACAAATGTACTCAATGCAAATAGCAAATAGCATGGGTTGCGCTACACGTGCCCTACTGCTAGTTGTTGAAGAGTATGATCATTGGAAAGTCATAATGGAAAGATTTTTACTTGGAAAAGAAAAAGATAAATCTATCTGGAGATCCGTTAAAGAAGGTCCTCATGTTCCAATTCGAAACATTGTTAGAGATGCTGTTGCAACTCTCATGGGACAGGATGAACAACGTCAAGCACCTCTCACTGCTGATGATCTTGAAAAACTGCATGCAGATAAAGTTGCCTTTTCCGAAATGGTGTCTGGCATTCCACCTTCTCTCTTTGAGCACATCAAACTGTGCAAATCCGCAAAAGAGAATTGGGACACACTTCAAGATTTGTTTGAAGGGTCAGAGAACATGAAGGATAAGCGTCTAACCTTAGTTGTCAATGAGTTCGACACTTTCACTATAACACCTGGTGAATCTGTTGTCTTAGTCTCAAACAGATATCGAATTGTCGTTAACAACATGACAACTCACTGGATAGTCTGAACCCCACTTGAATAGAACCTCAAGTTCATTAACAGCCTCAGAAAAGGATGGGGAAATGTGAAGTCATGTCTTCAGAGTAATGGATCTCTGAAAAAGCTGAAGCTCTACCAACTCTTCGATGAGCTTCAAGGTCATGAATCAAATGTTGCACAAACCCTACAAGAACTCACTGGAGGTCCTCTAGATCTAGTCAGTTCCTACGATCCACTAATTCTGAACCCTGCTATTTCGGAACCTCTCTTAGCTATTGTTCCATATATCCCTCCTGTTCAACCCTCACCTCCAACCATACCTGCTCCCACAAATACCAACTATCAAACAGAGAGTGACCTTAATCCTGAAGATATGGACTCCGAACTCCGTTTTCAACAGGAATTTGCCTTACTTTCCATGAAATACAATCGTCCTTATAACAAGCCATATCACAACCTTTTTAATGCTCCTCACCAAAATAACCCTCAACCCTTCAACAAACCTTCAAAAAACCCACCATCCTACAAGCCTAATCTTCCTACACTAAATCACACCTCAGAATCGTCACAGACTCCGAAGTAAGAAAAACCCAAGACTGTATGTCACAACTGTGGTCATGCAAATCACTTTTCCAAAGAGTGCTTAGCTGAAGTCCCACAGAAACCCAAGATCAAGGATTCTACTTACTATGCACGTAAAGCTCAAGAAATGGCAGAAAGTGAAAAGGCTTTTGTTACCACTATGTCCATGGATGTGGAAGGATGTTGGTCTTCTGGAGATGATGGTGAAATAACCACTGCCAGAAACATGTGCCTTATGGCTCGACAAGAAATTGAATATGATGAAGGCTACTGGTCGTCTGGGTCAGAGAGAGATGATGAAGATGTTGAACCAAACCACTGCTACATGGCTACCAACGATCCACCTGGCAAAAGCATCGTTCAACAGGTAAAATCTATGATTATTACTAATATTTTTGACTTATCTCTTTGTGAACCATATCTAACCCAGATCCAATCATATATGAACATCTTTACAAAGCCTATGAGTCAGCCATAGAAGCCAGTGAGAAGAAGGAAAGTGAATTAAGTTGTCTTAGATTACATTTTGAGGATAAGAAGTTGAATATAGGGTCTTTAGAATGAGAGCTTGTAATGTCACAAAATGAATGTATCATTCTTAAAGACAAATGTCAAAATCACTTATTCTGAAAGAAATGTTTTAATTTCTGACAACAAACGTCTCAATGCTAAAATAGATGCTTTGCATAATTCCATTGACATTCTTGAAGCAAATGAACGGATGACTCACAATTTTTGTCATCCTTGGTCAAAAGCTCCTGGTCTCGGAAGCGAGTTTTCGAAACCTATTGCTCGTCCCCTAAAGGAGTTACAAAACCTAACTTTTATGGGATACGTTCCGAACATCAAACATTCAGACACCCCTGTCTCGCCTTTGTCACTCCTTCCTGAGACTTTTGACAAATTTGAATCACTAATTCCTGAGTTTAAGCCAATAGTTTTCAAGTGTCCTGATTCCACGCTTCTTCCGCCTCTGATAAACCTGGAACTGAATCGGACCTCAGAACCCCACTCTAGTATTCTGAACTCTGTCGTTCAAATTTTGAACCACAGCCCTCATAACAACTGTGTTGTTGAGGAAATTTTTCCAAAGACAACTGGACCTGAATTCTCTGAGTGTGTTTGGGCATCTTTAGATAGTGACG